GTAACTCATTCGAAAGATGCTTTCTTATCTTACACCTACGCATTCACTATTCACATACAACAGAATTGTCAAGATGCTTGTCAAGTGCAATGTGCATAGCACCAGTGGAACCTTGAGTGGCCTACTGCAAATTTCACAATAACCTCCAATCAAGTGGCAGAAAATTGTCTTGGGTTCTTTTAAAGCTATACCTACTACCGATATACTAAATCTTCGTACATGCTTCACTTTATCTTTCTTCCACCTTTCAGATATGGAACCTATGAAACACAAACAACATACTCTCCTTGATATCTGTCCCATGTTAATATTATTATTATTATTATGACCGTAGATGTTCGGGCCAGTTTACGCACACCTTGACTAATCCTACGGGAGTTTGAAGTTTACAGCCGGATACTCACCTCAGTGGCTTTGAGAGGACTCGAATCCCATGTCAATATAAGAAAACAAAAATTATGTGAGACAATGGGGAGAGGAGACAAAAAGAATCATAAGTCCAAAACCCTTTGAGAGTCCAGTAGAGATAATATTTTTAACTGATAGCCATCTTTGTTTTTTCCTGGGGCTTGAAGATACACTTAATCATGAAAATTAAGAAAAATATGTTTGCATAAAAATCTTTAGATATAGGAATGGGACACATTATCGATTTGTTGAGCATAAGAAAAAGAACACATATATTGGTGATATGCAGCCAATAATTACATCTGGCAGAAAATGGACCAAACTCCATCCCTCAATCTGAAACTATAAGAGCACATATACCCTTTTGCAACACAAACAGGCAGAATCACTGCAAACTCGTGATATAAATAACTTGAAAATATAATAGCACAAAACAGTACCTGTGATCCCCGAGCTTCGGACGTGTGCTAGCTAGAGAACCAGAGAAACCCACGCCAAGAGCTGGGTAACCTGCAAGGAACAATTGAATTGAAAACTAAGTATTAACTCATCCAAAAATGAATAAATAGATCCAGAAATAGCAAAGTCAATGCATTGCTGATCCCCAGTACTAAATCTCCCACCCAAAAGAGAGATAATCAAAATTAAACGCATAAACTCAAAAAATAAATTCAAATTAAAACGATCGTAGTTAGCAATGTAGAGAATCTAAACTCACTGGAATTCTTTAATGCTGGTACCGACTGATATGTTAGAATTAAAGGGAAACAAAGTCTTTTAAGAACATCATCAAATAGCAATAAGCAATTCAAAACTTTCAAATTTTATAAAACATTAATGAACTTTGTGGTTCATGAGATGTGTAAAATTTTCTTGCTCTCTGAAAATGTAATGTTGTGTTGGTTCAACTGGTGTCTCTAAGTATCATGTAAATGATATCAGAATCATCGCATGGGCAGGAACTCTATTGGTGCAAATAAGCACTTCTACTTTAGAACAATACTCACGAGTTGCAACTTACAAGCCACGGTATCAAATCACAAATAGCAGTTCAACATAAAAAGTCTTTTGAATTTAAATCATTTAGAGCAAACTCCTGAATTCATTTAAAAATTTAATGGTAGCATAAACAAACCCGAAACCGTCACAAACCACTGATCTAGGCAGAAATCAGAAAGTTTTGGAAAAAATGAAATATAACATGGGTTGAAACCAGGTTGTATTTGAAGAGAACAGTACATGCAGATTAGTTTACTGTTGACTGCAAGTACCTGATATCTCAGAATTTGGAAACGAGGAAAATAATTTAGCACGCTGTGATAGAATTTGGAAGCAGAATCTTTCAAAGTGACTGTGATCACTATAAATTGTTCTCTAGATCTTGAGTAGTCCCTAAGTATCAATTGAACAAGCATTACTTGAGCTAATGTTAACTGCACCAGACCATTTGTCCCGAGATAAATACGTATTTGCATTTTGCTATCTTCTAGTATTTCCCCCTCCCTCCCTCCCTCCATATCAAACAAGAGAAGGAAAATGTTTACTTTTAGATACCCAGGATATTTAATTAAAAAATGGAAGAAACATGCGCATTCTGGAAACGTGAATTATGGCTTCACTCAGATATACATGCATTAAGAAGTGATAACACAACAGATAACTAAAAGGGGGTTTTTTTTTTCGTTTCAAAATGGGTCAGTTATGGGATTTCAACATGGCCACCAATTTAAAATCCGCATCTGACCATCAGAAAGTTTATTGGCTAATCAAGTTTGAGTACCGAATATAGATTGAATAAAAATTTCACTTTGTCCTTGGCAGCACAATAGAGTTTTGAAACTAGAACTCTTTGAGCATAAATCTAAACTTGACAGGACTGGTTTCTAATTCTGATTTCAAAGATCCAACTTGCACACTGCAAAATGCAATCTTATCGATGTTAGAGGAGAAAATTACTCCAGTTCAGATCATGAGAAGGACGTCTTGTATTGCGGTTATAGAATTAGAATCCTAAAAATCATAAATCGTTATCAAATGGTTATAAATAGGACTTGGACGATCTTTAATTCCTAATATTTAATTTGGTTACAATGAGTCTATCAATTTATTATTTTGTTTCAAGCACGTCTTAACAAAGTTAAGACATAATAATGTGTTGGAATAATTTAACAACAAACACCACATTTCCAAACAAAAGTACAAGTAAAAAGAGAAAGAAAGATGAAATACACCGTCTTTAAAATCCAAAACTCATATTAAAAAAATAGTCAAAATAATTTGTAGATGATTTGTTACAGACACAAGATTGAAAACAAAGATAAGAAGTTCAAATTATTATTCGATCGGGAAAAGAACCTGGTTGGGAAAGCTTTAGAGCTCTATTATAAGCCAACAATGCCATGTCCTCTGCAGTTTGCCTGCTAGCGAATTTAGCAGGAACCTTTGAAAAACACAACAATAAAATAATATAGAATCCATTTTCACTTTAAAGCAGGGCACAATAATTGTTTTTAACGTAAACGCGAAACAACTTCAAACAAACGAGAAAGAAAAGAAGGAAAAAAACTGACCTTGCCTAGCAATTGGATCATGGACATTCTAGAATAAGGCACCACAGCTTCCAAAACTGTGTTTGAGGCTCCTGGTACAGACATTAACCACCCAAGGGCCTGCCCATTTTCCAAAGTCACTTCAATCAGACATTCATCAGACAATTGATGTGTAATACAAGTTAGTTATAATACTAGACAGTATTACAAAATAAAATCTGAGAGCCCTGTCCGATACTCCATTGGACTCCAGTGGAATTTGAAATTAAGATATTTTGATACTAAATATTTCAAAACGCGTTGCACAAGGATCTATAAAACAATTGATAAAATTTGATTCCTCGACTCAATTACCGAACATTTACTATATTCGTGTGGATATATCTGTATGTAAATGTGTACGTGAAGGTACCTGAGAGGCTCCGCCGGAGAGATAGACAACGGCTTGAGTGGGACTGGAGTGTATGCCTTCTACCACGGCTCGCACGCAAGAGTCCATCATGCTCACTCTTCCTGGTTCAGTTTCTTCTTAGTAAGACCCTTGATTTTATTTCATCCACACACAGTCGTTTCGACTCTATGGGTGTTTTTGGTACTTGAGAGATTAGAGTTGACTTCTGCATCCAAAATTCGCTGTCCAAGGTTACCGTATGTGATATATGGCTTGGATTAAAATTTGATTTTAATCTAAATTAAAATCAAATAATTAATATTATTAATCACATTTTTTATCTTGTAACTTTTCAATTACACAGTTCAAAAAATCATATCACAATTTATTAAAAATCTAATTTTAATTTTCACCAAACACCCTCTATATCTATTTTTAAGCACAAGTGGTAGTTAGAATGAATCATTGAATGGACAACAAGTTCAATAGCCAATTTTAAATATCAGATCTCAACTCGAGAAATTGATTGCAAAGGAACCTCTCCCCCTTTTGCAGCGGAATAGAAAGTTAGCTCTTTTTGGGTTTCATTATAATGAAATGAATACCTTTTTTGATGTAGATCAAAATCAGATTTTCAGTAGATTTTGATAAAAATTGAAGAAATGTGTGATTAAAAAATTATCAATTCCATAAAATATATGATTAAAATAAATTGTTAGTTCAACTTAGAATTTTTATCGACTTTGAATGTCCATCAAATAGGAGAAGAGGTACAACATTATTTACAAAGTCCATGTTTGTCCTTAATTTTTTAAAATTTATTATTTTTTCAAATTCATTTTCAACCTAACATTTCATGAACCCGCAATTTTTATCAACTTTTTAATCACACGATGAATTAACTTTTATTAAAATTAACTAAAAATTTAATTTTAGCAAAATTAATGAATAATAATGTGTGATTAAAACTAATATTTAACTTTAATTTCAACTTATAAAATGAATTTTAATGAAACCCAAACGAGCACTCATATTATTCTTGATGTTTAAAATTTAGATTTCTAAAATGTCCATTTATAATTACTTCTTTACCAAAAAGTAAAATATTAATTTTTTTTTAATTTACAGTAAAATAGATAAGACTAAATTTAATTTATGCAACCAAAAATTCTCTAATCATGTAAAATTAAGTTCTCAAATGAGCTGACCATCCTTTACGCAATCAATTGCATTGCCACCATATTGTCAATATGGATCCCCCATAGAGTTATTCCCAACACAGCACATGTGTGGTGCCTTTTTTTTTTTTTTTGTACCTTTGAAAAGAATCAATGATAATATTTCAAGTGAAATTATATAATAATTTTGTGAAAACTCGTCTGTACCTATAGCAAAACTCTCGCCCATAACTAATATTATCTAGCACTGGTTAGTCCAAGTCTCTGTCATTGTGGGATCTACTGTTTACTATTAGTAATTAATTGTAAATTTAAAATTTTTATTTTTACTATCATATAGATTGTTGTTAAAAATTTCTATCGCTAGATATACATTAATATAAACTTTGCGCCTGTAGATCGAATTTTCAAAGAATTTAACATTAAACATTTTTTCTTCTATTCAAAAGAACTATATTTTTTAGTAACGACGTAAAACTGCATTTTCCTGCAACATATCAAGTTTCCAAATGGAAAAAAAAAAAAAAAAAAGGAAACTAATTTAGTTTACTTCTGCAATTTGTAAAATTATAATACTTTTGTTTTGTTAAAATGTAAAAGAATATTATCGATGGTACGTATAATATTTTGCTCATGTCTTGCAACTAAAAATTTCGGACATTGGATACCAACTTACTTCGCCCATTTTTTGATTTGGTAAAAGTGATTTTTTCTTTTAGAATCTATGATTAGTAGTAGAATTTTTTTTTTTTTTTAATTTAGATGCAAAACTGTTTTATTGAAGGAACGTCTTAACTGAAAATTAATTTGAAGAAAAATAAATTTTAAAGAATGAAACTCGAGCAAGGTATAAAGAAGGGATGGGACAATACTAGATTTTTATGAGATTTAGTGAACATCTTTATTCCACTTTTTTTGTTGCTTTTGTTGAACATTGAAAGTTTAAACGCTCCCGTTATTCATAATCAAACCGAATTCAGCATAGAATAAGAATTAAGATTTTTTCAAATATATTATTCCTTGTCCCTTGGCATTATATAATGGAGAATTTATCGTTCATCAACGTCAATTAAAGTTCGAAATTCCAACACGAAAAAGGCAGGAATCAGAACAGATGCGTAGTCCCCGGATGGAAAGTAGATATTATTAAAAATAACTTGGACTCGTCACCCCTTTATATATTGAAACAGTCCCGCCTCAACCCCCCAACAAAACAAGAAATATATATAAATTCATAAATTAAAGCCCTCTACAAACAGACGGATGAAAAACAATTCATGAAGTCGACTCGAAAAAAGGAGTATCTTCATAAAAGACTTGTTTGGCATAGATTCTTCTAAAATCATTGTCCTCCAAATTATTTTAACATCCATTTATCGATTACATATTCTTCAATAAAAAAATCATTTTTTAGTCTTGCTGCAGTGTCTGCACCAATTACAAAAGCACTACCAGGGAAAAGTTCTGCTTTCTTGTAGAAGTATGGTTGGTTGGAAATTATGACAGTCTTCCCTGCGCTTGAAACACTGTAATCATTAAAATCTCACTCGAATCACTCTGAAGAAGGTTTGAGAGTAAAGACAATGGGGCTCCATGTTTTTCTGCCAAAGAGAATCAAATTCAAAAGCTCAAAACCATCTAAATCATGAATCATCAAAAGCAACAAATGTATAACGGCATAACCACCACCAAGGCACCACCTTCCCAGCATTGAAAATTTTGAAAGAAAATGACAGAAAGTAAAGGAGAGAGAAAAGGGCAGGAACCCATAAACAGAGAACTTTATATAACTCATCGTTTAACACAAACCAATTATCTCACAATCTTGCAATTATAATTAATGCGACACAAAGCCCTTCTACCAAATGGACCTACAACATGAAAAATCAATCATTTTTTCACATTTTAAGTAACTAGTTATCATATAAAAATTATCATTTTTTGTTAACATGTTAAAAAACAAGGTGAATCAAGATACTCGTTAAATTTATAATAATTTGTGAAAGGACCACGCTGCTGGGAAATCATGACTTTCTCCGTAAAGTTTACAATTGAAACCATCAAAAGCTCAGCAGCACCCAGAACAAAGCTTAATACCGAAATTCCTATATAAGAATGACCACCTTTCTTCTTATTCCAGGTAAAAATCAATAATAAAAATAGCAAAACAGATACTCAAATCACAGAAGAAAGGAAAATGACCCATAGAAAGCACCCAGGCAAACATACAGACAGAAAGAAAAGATAAATAAATAAATAATAATAATTTATTAAATGGCCCTGAGAGCAAATTAATGCAGATAAAGCTCTAATATTCCAACATTAAAAAATCTGATTCAGGTAATAGAAGAGATATAAGCAACTTGATGCATAGAGAATCAAATCTGAGGCATACCACTATAAGGAGCAACTTGATGCATAGAGAATCAATTCCGAGACATTCTACCAGTATGAGAAGCAAGCCTCAAGACTTATAAAGATGATTTCCAACATTGAAACATCAAGAAAAAAAAATGAAGTAGGATTATCTTTCGTTTATAATAGAGCCCATTCAAAGGGGTAAAGGGCAAGGATTATTAAATTGAATACAAACTAGTCCAGAGTTTTGTTCAACCACGAGGAAAACCATGTATGGAAGCAACAAAGCTATATTCAAAATATCATATACTTTGCAAATTGTCAAGGATACAAATCTAGTCTCACCAACTTTTTCAAATTGCATAACGCGTTCTTTAATTTGCGACACCGTTAACGGAGGTTTATCTGCATTCACTGCTGACAATTCAAAGCACGGGTATCCATCACCAAGAATGCTGCATTGAACAAATGCAGAACTTCAGCGATCGCAGAAGCATCTCAACAGCACAAGTAGAATATTTACGAGTTTAGAACGAAAGCTTTACGATTAAAGCAATTACTCATATGCTACAAAAATTCTCTTTTCCATTTAAAATTAGAATACTTTTACTGAAATCACACTTTATACACTAAACAATTGAATTATATAAATTGAATAAAAATGCACATAGAGAAAGTACTGATACTGTACAAACGGAAACACATTAATGACTTGGATATGAAATAATCATATTCTTATAGACTATAAAGACCAAGGGAAAATGAGCTTCCAGCAGCATGTCACAAGCTAATGATAAATATAGAGTTGACAAAACTATGACGGGGCTCAAGACTAAATTAAAGGTAAGGACAGAATCCTTAGAACCTGAACTTTTTAAAGATAAGTGGGGGGAGTAATAAATAGACTAACATAAACATTTTGAATAAATGCAGAAAATTAATCCACATCACATTACGCAAGGGAACACAATGATTTCTCAATCAGGATTCCGGTCATCAAATTTAAAGCTTTTAGGAACAGATGCATGTACCTCACAGCAACTTCCAAGAGCTTTAAGTGACCATCATGCAAGGGATTAAATGAACCCGATAGGATAACCTTCCTTTCTGCCTCTAACATATCTACATAACGTTCCCTCCACAATTAACAATTAAAAGAACGTGAAGTGTCATTTAAAAGTGGGAAGCTTGTGTATGGATAAACCATACCACTTGAAAAGGGATAAATCTTGCAGCAAATTTGACCATTAATAAGTTGCTCAAACTCTTGGTCTTCTTCAAATCGCATTTCAAAGTCATCAGAAGCTTCCTGATCTGTTAACTCCGAAACAAAAGTTGCTGGAACCTTGCAAGCATATGCTATTGCCTATAAAAATATCAAGGTAATGCTACATTTTACCAAGACAATGGTTGTTCCAAAAAGGTACTAATTACTAAACTTTATATTTGAAGATATTTTGTAAAATCAAGGATGTTCACATTAGAAAAACGAAACAGTAAGCAGACAAGCAAAGATCTTATGCCATACACTGGTCTCATAGCCAACTCACCATAGCAAGTGCAGGAACAGACTACTATCCAGATTTACTGGAAATATTTTACAGAAATTTTGCAATGAGATTACTAGCGTAGGCACAAAAGAAAAACATATTTTTACCTCTTTGCCTCTATTTGATAAGAATTTATAAATGGTTTATTTATAAATAAATAGAAATTGGTGTTTGATAAGTAGATAGTACTTGTTGGTACATTTGAATGTATGGTTGAAAATGAAGTTTGACCATCTACAAATAATTTATTAATTTTGCCAAATGGAAGCTTTGATAGAATTGCATCAATGTTAACTTAAGTCAATAACAATTAAAATTAATTGTCACACTGAAACCGTGATGATGGAAGTCCTTCGTCTCATCAAACTCCTCAAAACTCAAACTATTGCTCCCCCTTGAATTTCAAGGGATTACTTATAAAAACTAAATGGAATACAGAAAATAGGACTTATAGCAACCATGCTCATTCTAAATAAAAATTTACAGAATCCTAAATTCACTTTTCCTATAACCAGACTAACAAATCTTGCCTATGTTTGGGAAACCTAAAAAATAACTTATAATTTACTTTTCAATGTCAAACTTTAACTTTAACCCCACATTTCGTAGGAGTCACAACTACTATCTACTTATCCACCTCTCATTTCTATCATATCATAATTTTAGTAACTTCTAATTTATCAGGGCAACATGGTGATATTTTCTACAACAATTAGACACATGAGGTACAAAGTTTATAGCAAACCTTCAATAAGAACTGACTAGAAACTGTGTCTTCTTGTTCACGGGTTCGCAAGCCCTGAATTATTGCAATTATGTAGAGAAATCTCAGTATTTCTCTATAACCCAAGCCACGTGCTAAAGAAATAGAAAGAATACTACAAAAATACCTTTGACAGTGTAACAGTAGATACCCAAAGCCGGTCAGATGTCCTAGTTGACACATGAAACCTGAACGTGATGCATGAATAAAGCCCATTAGTATGGAAAATAAAAAGTCAATGCATTCATAATAAAGAAGTAGATAAAATTCGATTAACCAATTTAGAGCATGAAGTACATTGAGTATGTGATGAGGACATTATCAATTTTTATTTATTTCTAGTTGAACTTTATTTTGTTTTGTGGACTTTATTTTTGTTTTGGACTCTTATTTGTGTAACTGGGCTTGTATTGGCCCAAGCCCAATCTCGTTACGATTTGTTTTTACTATTTAAACCTAGTTTGCCATGTAATTTAGTTAGTTGATGAATGAATAAACTTTTGGTGGCTTGTGGCGAAATTCCTCTTCCTACTTTCTTCTTCTTCTTCTGTTGAATCGTCTTCTTCCTCATTCTCCCTCTTAATTCCATCTTCTTTATAGATTTGTTTTCTTTCTCCATTCATTTTCCTGTTGGTGCTGCATCAAATTTGGTATTAGAGCTGAAATTTGGGTAAAGTTTCATCTACAATCCAAAACCTTCTTCACATTCTCTTCCCAAAAAACTTGTAGAGCAGCACAAACGAAATAATTTATTTCGAGGCCGTAGTTATCATTTTTTTTTTTCAATTTTCTTTTTTAGTTTAAAAAAAAGGGGAGCGATAAAATGTTACTGTTCATCAGAAAAAAGGTCAGTTTTAGTATTTTGTGAGAAAAAAAATTGTTATTATCAAGAGTCATTTTGTTCTAATCTGCTCAAATTTCGTAAGATGTTGTTCCAATGTCTACCCTCTTATCTAGATAATATTCTAATCCAAGTTTTATAATTGTAATTCAACTCAAATTCCATTCAGTCCATCAACCCCCAAATCTAATTAGTCTACAGCCCAATTCTCATTATACTTCATCCTAAGTCCAAAACCTAGCACAATTCTCCCAACCGACTTACTTCCAGCCCAACCCTATTATATACCTACACACACATACAAGACCAAGCCCTCATCTCCATTATAAAACAAACAGCCCAAAGGTATTGTGCCTCTTATTCCCGATATCTCTCAGTCAAATGTTGTGTGTCATACTCTTATTCAACCCAAAGATACAAATGATTTGTGTAATCATGCCCTTTTCAAGGGAAATCTTGGAAATTGGGATTTGATCCTCCCAACAGTGCAAATTACATATAATGATTTTGTGAATCGATCTATAAGCACGAGTCCCTTTGAAGTTAGTCATGGTTATGAACCTAGGAAAACTTTAGACCTTATTCCCATGTCCCCACATGCTAATGTGTCTTTATCAGTTGAGGTAATCGTATCACATCTTCATAACTTGAATATTGAGATCAATAAACAACTTGAAGCAAGTAATACATTATGTAAACTTCAAACTGATTTGCATAAGCGAAGTTTTGAATTTAATATTGAGAATTATGTTATATTGCAAGCCTATAGTGCTCGTCCTTTTAAGATTTTAAAGCATGTTGGTCCAAATACATATGTCATTTATCTCTCATCACATTTTGGCTATCACTCTACTCTAAATATTGAGGACTTTATTACTTACAAACACGATTTTACTTCCTTTGATAATCCATTTCTACTTAGCTTTGTAGGTCCCCAACTTGACTATGTTGATATTTCTACTTCAATACCATCTATCACATCACACACAGATAAAATTGATTTTATTTTAGATGAACGTGTTGTATTGACCAATGATGGCGCAAGATTCAGTATTTCCTTGTTTGTTAAGTCATTCCACCTGATTTGAATAGTACATGGATTCCAAGAGAGAGGTGCCAACTAATATGGATCAAGCTGGTTTTGGAGTTCGATACTTGGTTCGTTAGAAAGATCGTCCTCCTTAGCATGACTTGAAGCATTTGGAGTATCAAATTGACTGCAACCTACAGTGATCTATCAACTTGACAGGATCGAGTTTTTTTCCCATCCCGAGAGAGTTGAGGAGAACATCATCTATTTTTACTTATTTCTAGTTGGACTTTATTTCTGTTTTGGACTCTTATTTATGTAATTGGGCTTGTATTGGTCCAAGCCCAGTCTCGTTAGGGTTTGTTTTTACTATTTAAACCTAATTTGCCATGTAATTTAGTTAGTTGATGAATGAATAAACTTTTGGTGGCTTGTGGCGTAATTCGTCTTCCTACTTTCTTCTTCTTTTGTTGAATCTTCTTCTTCCCCATTCTCGCTCTTAATTCCTCTTCTTTATAGATCTGTTTTCTTTCTCCATTAATTTTCCTGTTGGCGCTGCATTAGTATGTCAAAGATTATTACTATGTAACTCATTCGAAAGATGCTTTCTTATCTTACACCTACGCATTCACTATTCACATACAACAGAATTGTCAAGATGCTTGTCAAGTGCAATGTGCATAGCACCAGTGGAACCTTGAGTGGCCTACTGCAAATTTCACAATAACCTCCAATCAAGTGGCAGAAAATTGTCTTGGGTTCTTTTAAAGCTATACCTACTACCGATATACTAAATCTTCGTACATGCTTCACTTTATCTTTCTTCCACCTTTCAGATATGGAACCTATGAAACACAAACAACATACTCTCCTTGATATCTGTCCCATGTTAATATTATTATTGTTATTATGACCGTAGATGTTCGGGCCAGTTTACGCACACCTTGACTAATCCTACGGGAGTTTGAAGTTTACAGCCGGATACTCACCTCAGTGGCTTTGAGAGGACTCGAATCCCATGTCAATATAAGAAAACAAAAATTATGTGAGACAATGGGGAGAGGAGACAAAAAGAATCATAAGTCCAAAACCCTTTGAGAGTCCAGTAGAGATAATATTTTTAACTGATAGCCATCTTTGTTTTTTCCTGGGGCTTGAAGATACACTTAATCGTGAAAATTAAGAAAAATATGTTTGCATAAAAATCTTTAGATATAGGAATGGGACACATTATCGATTTGTTGAGCATAAGAAAAAGAACACATATATTGGTGATATGCAGCCAATAATTACATCTGGCAGAAAATGGACCAAACTCCATCCCTCAATCTGAAACTATAAGAGCACATATACCCTTTTGCAACACAAACAGGCAGAATCACTGCAAACTCGTGATATAAATAACTTGAAAATATAATAGCACAAAACAGTACCTGTGATCCCCGAGCTTCGGACGTGTGCTAGCTAGAGAACCAGAGAAACCCACGCCAAGAGCTGGGTAACCTGCAAGGAACAATTGAATTGAAAACTAAGTATTAACTCATCCAAAAATGAATAAATAGATCCAGAAATAGCAAAGTCAATGCATTGCTGATCCCCAGTACTAAATCTCCCACCCAAAAGAGAGATAATCAAAATTAAACGCATAAACTCAAAAAATAAATTCAAATTAAAACGATCGTAGTTAGCAATGTAGAGAATCTAAACTCACTGGAATTCTTTAATGCTAGTACCGACTGATATGTTAGAATTAAAGGGAAACAAAGTCTTTTAAGAACATCATCAAATAGCAATAAGCAATTCAAAACTTTCAAATTTTATAAAACATTAATGAACTTTGTGGTTCATGAGATGTGTAAAATTTTCTTGCTCTCTGAAAATGTAATGTTGTGTTGGTTCAACTGGTGTCTCTAAGTATCATGTAAATGATATCAGAATCATCGCATGGGCAGGAACTCTATTGGTGCAAATAAGCACTTCTACTTTAGAACAATACTCACGAGTTGCAACTTACAAGCCACGGTATCAAATCACAAATAGCAGTTCAACATAAAAAGTCTTTTGAATTTAAATCATTTAGAGCAAACTCCTGAATTCATTTAAAAATTTAATGGTAGCATAAACAAACCCGAAACCGTCACAAACCACTGATCTAGGCAGAAATCAGAAAGTTTTGGAAAAAATGAAATATAACATGGGTTGAAACCAGGTTGTATTTGAAGAGAACAGTACATGCAGATTAGTTTACTGTTGACTGCAAGTACCTGATATCTCAGAATTTGGAAACGAGGAAAATAATTTAGCACGCTGTGATAGAATTTGGAAGCAGAATCTTTCAAAGTGACTGTGATCACTATAAATTGTTCTCTAGATCTTGAGTAGTCCCTAAGTATCAATTGAACAAGCATTACTTGAGCTAATGTTAACTGCACCAGACCATTTGTCCCGAGATAAATACGTATTTGCATTTTGCTATCTTCTAGTATTTCCCCCTCCCTCCCTCCCTCCATATCAAACAAGAGAAGGAAAATGTTTACTTTTAGATACCCAGGATATTTAATTAAAAAATGGAAGAAACATGCGCATTCTGGAAACGTGAATTATGGCTTCACTCAGATATACATGCATTAAGAAGTGATAACACAACAGATAACTAAAAGGGGGTTTTTTTTTTCGTTTCAAAATGGGTCAGTTATGGGATTTCAACATGGCCACCAATTTAAAATCCGCATCTGACCATCAGAAAGTTTATTGGCTAATCAAGTTTGAGTACCGAATATAGATTGAATAAAAATTTCACTTTGTCCTTGGCAGCACAATAGAGTTTTGAAACTAGAACTCTTTGAGCATAAATCTAAACTTGACAGGACTGGTTTCTAATTCTGATTTCAAAGATCCAACTTGCACACTGCAAAATGCAATCTTATCGATGTTAGAGGAGAAAATTACTCCAGTTCAGATCATGAGAAGGACGTCTTGGATTGCGGTTATAGAATTAGAATCCTAAAAATCATAAATCGTTATCAAATGGTTATAAATAGGACTTGGACGATCTTTAATTCCTAATATTTAATTTGGTTACAATGAGTCTATCAATTTATTATTTTGTTTCAAGCACGTCTTAACAAAGTTAAGACATAATAATGTGTTGGAAATATTTAACAACAAACACCACATTTCCAAACAAAAGTACAAGTAAAAAGAGAAAGAAAGATGAAATACACCGTCTTTAAAATCCAAAACTCATATTAAAAAAATAGTCAAAATAATTTGTAGATGATTTGTTACAGACACAAGATTGAAAACAAAGATAAGAAGTTCAAATTATTATTCGATCGGGAAAAGAACCTGGTTGGGAAAGCTTTAGAGCTCTATTATAAGCCAACAATGCCATGTCCTCTGCAGTTTGCCTGCTAGCGAATTTAGCAGGAACCTTTGAAAAACACAACAATAAAATAATATAGAATCCATTTTCACTTTAAAGCAGGGCACAATAATTGTTTTTAACGTAAACGCGAAACAACTTCAAACAAACGAGAAAGAAAAGAAGGAAAAAAACTGACCTTGCCTAGCAATTGGATCATGGACATTCTAGAATAAGGCACCACAGCTTCCAAAACTGTGTTTGAGGCTCCTGGTACAGACATTAACCACCCAAGGGCCTGCCCATTTTCCAAAGTCACTTCAATCAGACATTCATCAGACAATTGATGTGTAATACAAGTTAGTTATAATACTAGACAGTATTACAAAATAAAATCTGAGAGCCCTGTCCGATACTCCATTGGACTCCAGTGGAATTTGAAATTAAGATATTTTGATACTAAATATTTCAAAACGCGTTGCACAAGGATCTATAAAACAATTGATAAAATTTGATTCCTCGACTCAATTACCGAACATTTACTATATTCATGTGGATATATCTGTATGTAAATGTGTACGTGAAGGTACCTGAGAGGCTCCGCCGGAGAGATAGACAACGGCTTGAGTGGGACTGGAGTGTATGCCTTCTACCACGGCTCGCACACAAGAGTCCATCATGCTCACTCTTCCTGGTTCAGTTTCTTCTTAGTAAGACCCTTGATTTTATTTCATCCACACGCAGTCGTTTCGACTCTATGGGTGTTTTTGGTACTTGAGAGATTAGAGTTGACTTCTGCATCTAAAATTCGCTGTCCAAGGTTACCGCCTGGGATGTATTCTTTCATATATCATCCCATCAGTTGTTTGGTTTGGAATCTAAATCAAAATCAAATAATTAACATTATTAATTACATTTTTTATGGATCTCGTAACTTTTCAACTACACAATTCAAAAAATCCTATCACGATCTATTAAAAATCTAATTTTAATTTTCACCAAACACCTTCTATATCTATTTTTAAGCACAAGTGGTAGTTAGAATGAATCATTGAATGGACAACAAGTTCAACAGCCAATTTTAAATAACAGATCTCAACTCGAGAAATTGATTGCAAAGGAACCTCTCCCCCTTTTGCAGCGGAATAGAAAGTTAGCTCTTTTTGGATTTCATTATAATGAAATGAATCCCTTATTTGATGTAGATTAAAATTAGATTTTCAGTAGATTTTGATAAAAATTGAAGAAATGTGTGATTGAAAAATTATCAATCCCATAAAATATATGACTAAAATAAATTGTTACTTCAACTTAGAATTTTTATCGACTTTGAATGTCCATCAAATAGGAGAAGAGGTACAACATTATTTACAAAGTCCATGTTTGCCTTAATTTTCTAAAATTTATTATTTTTTCAAATTCATTTTCAACCAAACATTTCATAAACCCGCAATTTTTATCAACTTTTTAATCACACAATGAATTAACTTTTATCAAAATTAACTAAAAATTTAATTTTAGCAAAACTAATGAATAATAATGTGTGATTAAAACTAATATTTAACTTTAATTTCAACTTATAAAATGAATTTTAATGAAACCCAAACGAGCACTCATACTATTCTTGATGTTTAAAATTTAGATTTCTAAAATGTCCATTTATAATTACTTCTTTACCAAAAAGTAAAATATTAATTTATTTTTTATTTTATTTTTTGAAATTTACAGTAAAATAGATAAGACTAAATTTAATTTATGCAACCAAAAATGCTCTAATAATGTAAAATTAAGTTTTCAAATGAGCTGACCATCCTTTACGCAATCAATTGCATTGCCACCATATTGTCAATATGGATCCCCCATAGAGTTATTCCCAACACAGCACACGTGTGGTGCCTTCAATGATAATATTTCAAGTGAAATTATATAATAATTTTGTGAAAACTCGTCTGTACCTATAGCAAAACTCTCGTCCATAACTAATATTATCTAGCACTGGTTAGTTAAGTCTCTGTCATTGTGGGATCTACTGTTTACTATTAGTAATTAATTGTAAATTTAAAATTTTTATTTTTACTATCATATAGACTGTTGTTAAAAATGTCTATCGCTAGATATACATTAATCTAAACTTTGCGCCTGTAGATCGAATTTTCAAAGAATTTAACATTAAACAATTTTTCTTCTATTCGAAAGAACTATATTTTTTAGTAACGCCGTAAAACTGCATTTTCTTACAACATATGGAGTTTCCAAATGGGAAAAAAAAAAAGGAAATTAATTTAGTTTACTTCTGCAATTTGTAAAATTATAATACTATTGTTTTGTTAAAATGTAAAAGAATATTATCAATGGTACGTATAATATTTTGCTCATGTCTTGCAACTAAAAATTTCGGACATTGGATACCAACCCCATGTTTGAGTTCGCCCATTTTTTGATTTGTTAAAAGTGATTTTTTCTTTTAGAATCTATGATTAGAAGTAGAATTTTTTTTGAATTTAGATGCAAAACTGTTTTATTGAAGGAACGTCTTAACTGAAAATTAATTTGAAGAAAAATAAATTTTAAAGTATGAATCTTGAGCAAGGGATAAAGAAGGGATGGGACAATACTAGATTTTTACGAGATTTAGTAAACATCTTTATTCCACTTTTTTTGTTGCTTTTGTTGAACATTGAAAGTTGAAACGCTCCCGTTATTTATAATCAAACCGAATTCAGCATAGGATAAGAATTAAGATTTTTTCAAATATGTTATTCCTTGTCCCTTGGCATTATATAATGGAGAATTTATCGTTCATCAACGTCAATTAAAGTTCGAAATTCCAACACGAAAAAGGCAGGAATCAGAACAGATGCGTAGTCCCCGGATGGAAAGTAGATAGTATTAAAAATAACTTGGACTCGTCACCCCTTTATATATTGAAACAGTCCCGCCTCAACCCCCCAACAAAACAAGAAATATATATAAATTCATAAATTAAAGCCCTCTACAAACAGACGGATGAAAAACAATTCATGAAGTCGACTCGAAAAAAGGAGTATCTTCATAAAAGACTTGTTTGGCATAGATTCTTCTAAAATCATTGTCCTCCAAATTATTTTAACATCCATTTATCGATTACATATTCTTCAATAAAAAAATCATTTTTTACTTGAAAAAATCTGTGCAAACCTTGGGCAACGAAAAGATTCTCGCAATCAACTGTCAAATTTCCTGCCCGACTGGTAAATGTGCCCTTCGCATAAGCAGACTCTAATGGTCTACTTGCAAAGAAATGAAAATTTTTCAGACACCCAAAATGCTAGAGCATGTAACTTCGATCAAATCAGTTCACTGGAATTAGTGTTGTAAAAGTTCAATTCAGATTATGGAAAATCAAATAAGGGAGTGCAGTTAATTTTCTGCAGGAATTGATCATTCTACTGCTCTAGAATTGATTTCTTGCTCCCAATGGACAAGAAAAAAACTTTCCATTGCTAATATGGCAAGAGAGCCTTTTATGATAACCATAAGTGAAGTTCAACAGTGGATAGATCTTATCCTGCCCACCGTGGGGAAGGAGATAAGGCCTGTCTCTTGCTCATTATTAGAATTTTTAAGAAAAGGAAACAGAAAAGGAGATGCTGTCACTGTAAATCATAGTTCATACACACAGAGGTCTAATTTCGTGATTGACCAAAGCTTAATGGAATAAACAAACGCCTGCAAGTCAAACTAAACCATGAATAAGGTACCATCTACTGCTTGATTAATCAGAGCAAGGAACCTAGTTGCGCTAAGAGAGACCATTTTATCTTTCTCTGATCACAATATATTGATAAAGTAGCAAATGTATGTTGATAAAAGATACATTCAATCTTAACAGTTTTTAAAGAAAAAGATAATGGCCTCACCTTGCCAAATCCATATGAACAGCCACATTTCTGTCTAATAAACGGAATTAAATAGCCCTAAGTTTTGGGAACAGTAGTGGGAATATCAAGAGGGAAGATTCTTAGTGCAAAGCAGTTAAGTGCTTAAAGAATTGATGACTAAAAAAAAAATAATCAAATAAATGCACAAGAAATTAATGTTCATTAATAATGAACAAAGTTACAAAGGGAAAAATTGAATTACAAAAGAAAAGAGACATCGTATGTCTTAATTACAGTCTACCCCATAAAGAACGAATTCGTTCCCTAAGTTTTTCCCAATCCTCGTTCTGTCGAGAAGAAGTGATGTTCAATTCAGCCGCGACGTCATCATCATCAACCTCCAACTTCTTGTACTGCTCGACCAAGGACTTAGTTCGCTCAATTCCCTGGGAGGCGTTGCGCTTTTTAGCAGCCATCCTCGCCCTGCAGTCGTCCATTTTAGCTTGAAGTTCCCTCATCTGAGCAGCCAAGTTAACCATCAAAGAGTCTTCAATCATGACTTCGGAGGAGATTTCTTTTAACTCATCCTCAGCCTTGTTAATCTCCATACGCAAAGACTCTTTCTCAGCTACGGGCTCGAAGATATTGAGTACGCTTGGCCTTTAGTTCAGTATTCTTGGCCAACATAGAAAGGACCTCGGAGTGGATAACCTTCAACGTCGCTTTAAAATCGGCAGAAAGATTGAGCGACGGAAGCGTCAATGCTTGCTCCAACTTCGCACTCAAGTGCTCAAGTTCATCCTTGTGCCTGGCAGCACTAGCCATTCCAATATCCATATCCATGAAGGATACGTACTCAAATATCAATTCCTTCATGAACTTCAAGTCTTCCTCTGAAGAAGTAGCAGGACGATCGGATGGAGCAGGGCGAAACGTCTGAATTTGCCCCCAGGAAGCAAACAAGTCTTGGATAGAATGCACAATCCTGTCAGCGTCCTGCAAAGAAGACTGCCAATATTGAAAATTCTCACTACAACAAACAAGGTGGAAATAGAAATGAAGCAAAAAGAAAAACTACCTCGTCGACAATCGTAGAAAATGGTGCGCCCTCAGTCGACAATCGTAGAAGATGGCGCGCCCTCGGCCAAGCTTGCCACCAGCGACTCATCCATTCGTGAGGACTTTCCCTTGTCCGAGCGAGACGATGTTGCCACAACGGGCGGACTCATAGGAGTATCTGCAAAGCTCAAGAGCAACAAATCAAAAACCAATAGCACGAGCAAAGGTAAGACATCAAAAAACTGAATTACCTTTTACTTCGATCTTTGGGGGGTCGACGCCCTGGGAGGAAGGCAGCTCATCCATGGGTTGTGATGAAGATTCTGGGACTGAGGATGTTTCTTTAAGCGTGGCCCTCTCAACACAAAACCATATACACAGTAGAATTCTTAAGATTATATTCAAAATTGGGGTACCTTGAAACTGAATCTGGGGAAGGCAAATCGATAGAACCTGCTTGTTTCGGCTGAAACTGAGGCTGCTGCTGCTGCTGTTGTAACTGCACCTGTGCCTGTTGTTGTGCTCTTCTATACCCACTATGATCTGATCTATCATCGTCGGAGAAAGTTTTATTTCCATACTCCCCACCGCCACCTGCCACCACTGGAACGCCTGATACCACCATTCCAGCTGCCACATCCAATGGCACGAAACTCCCTTCCTCCTGCTTCTGAGTCGAATTAACATTTCCACCAACCCCAACAACTACAACGCTCTGCTGAAACTGCTCCTCGATTCCCAACCTCCCTGCCTTCTGATTCTCCTCCGCACGTACCCTTATGGGCCGCAGATTCGCCACGAATGGAGAGCTAGAAGCAGACTCGAAGGAAGAATTGGCTTCCAGCATTGGAGAATCCGGGACCGAATGCACATCGGGATTAACAGTAGTCCCGATCCCATTTCCATCATTCTTTGATGAATCCATTTGGGATTCCACATATTTCCTTGTGTTGGCCTCCTTATCTACAGAATCGTCATCAAAGTCAAGTAGAGAATTGACCGAAGAGGATTCTGGAAACCCGCAATCCTTTGCAGATGCAGGCATATTAATATCCTTCCCGTTTAATGCATTTAGAAACCAGTCATCTGATTTAGTAGACGCAGTTTCAACAAGAAGTTGCTCAATATTCGAACTTTTGAGAAATAAAAACAAGCGAAGGCGGCCAGGTTTCGAAGCACTCGAATTGCAGAGGCGGTCGTACTCTTCAACCATGTTCTCAAGATCTTCATCAGTGGTAACAGATATTAAAGAATCCAACTCCTCGTTCGGGAGCTGGTACTTCAACGTAAAAGGCTGGTTGTTAAGAAGGGCTTTCGAAAGGCGGTTGTGGAGGTCGGAGAGGCTGGTATGGCGGTCAATGACGATGATGCGGGTGTCTCCGCCGATATAGCAGAGAGACTTGTCGGTAGGGCGGGGGACTATGTGTCCGCCATAACTGCACATGAGGCGGAGCTTTGGTGGTTGGGGGAGCGGACCGAGCGGTGGAGGCGGATCATCCCAGGAGTTGGTGTTGCGGGAGCGAGGGGATGAATCCACAGAGTCTGGGTAGTTGATTTGGGGGGGTTGTGGAGGTGGTGCTGCCGCCGCCGCCGTCATGGTGGTGGTTGGAACGGCGGAGAGCGATGGCGGCAAGGGATCCATAGTATGGAAGAATTGGGATAAAAGTCACGAAAAGAGTAAAGAAGAAACCAACTGGCTTACTCAAAGAGTTAAGAGCGTGCTCATTTTGTACTTCTTGCCTCTTGGACAAGCCTAGCTGTTTTCTAATTAAATTAAAAATAAAATTTTCGTATTTAATTTTTTACTTAATAATTAAGCCCATATTTATTTTCCATTTTTTCTCCATTAAAATAAAAAATATGATCGTTATTTATTATATCAAGTCACCAAATTTGAATTTCTATCTTTTGTATGAGGTCCGTAACGACTATATTTTTTATTCTCGTTCTTACAAAAAATGAAAAACAAATGGAGTCTAAATATATGTATATGCATATACTTCCTACGTGTGTCGTTTCTTAAAGCAACAATATACATTAGCTTATCGATATTTCACTTAGAAAAATTAGATTTTAATAAATATTGATCGAATGTGTAACTGAAAAGTTACGAGAGTCATCAATTATGAAGTTCAAATTAATTTTCGATTTTGATTTAAATTTTTTAACTAGATTAAATAGGTTACTACTTTCGATATATAATCACATTTTATGCTACCTTAATATTTGGCTAACTAAAAAATATTTGATCGAGTTTAAATATAAAAATAAAATAAGAGGTACATGAGTTTTGATCTGTGTAACACAATTGTTTTGAGAGCTTTTATCAATAGAATTTTTCGAAGGAAAGCTTTCTCGAAAATTATTGTTATTAAAAGATTATTGTCTATTTAATTGTCGATACCGAAAGTGTTTTCAACAAAATATGTTATTTGAAAGCAAGATTACTAAAGTGCTTTTTTTTTAACGCACATTTAACTTAAATAAAAATAATTTCACATAATTCTCGTAACATTTTTCTTTTGTAAGTAAGATTCATATTTTTAAAACAATATTATTTCTCAGTTATAAAATCTATAAAATTAATACTTGAGGATTAAAATTAATTTTTTTATAGTAGATTGTGAGAAAAGTTTTTGAAATGTGTGGTTGAAAATTTGTGAAACTAGAAAAGATGTAGTTAATATTGATTATTTGACTTTGATTTAGATTAAAATCGAATTTTTATCCAAACCAAAACATGCTTAAATTTATTTATTTAAATTATATCTAAAATGTTCAATTTCTATTATATTTTTTAACTTTTGACACGCTAATGTATGACATATTTTCACTTTGTATAAAAAATAAAGCTAATCGTTAAATAGTGGTAATACTTGAGATAAAAAGTACGTCATAATGGCTTTAACGTAAGGGATAATTGCAGCAAAAGTTCCAAACTTTTACAACACTAGCAGACTTTCTCTGAACCTTTGATTTGTTGCGGTCGTCACTCCTAACCTTTCCAAACGTTCTAGATAAAGCCCTTTTTTGATGATTTTCATCCACTATTTCGTTAGTTGACTAAAAATTTCACTTTGACCACATTATAATCAATTTTAATGAGAGTAAAATGGTACTTTTATATTTACTACATTAAATAACAAAACAAAACAAAATGGAAAAACTGTAGCTTCATCTTTCCAAATCCACGCAACCTACCACGTTCGTCAAATCAATAAAGCTCTGTTTGATTGCACGAAATTTTTCATGGAACTTGGAATTCGAATTCCAATTTCCACTTTTGGCCTGTTTGATTGACAAAATTTTTCAGGGAATTGATTTTCCATGAATTTCTAGGTACAACACCTTAAAGCGTGATTTTCCACCTTTTTTTTTCCTAGGGGATAGGTGGTTTTTGGTTTTCCACCTTTTTTTATTTTTATTTTTTTTGCTTTTTTTATTTTTTTTTAATTGTTGGCAATGGGAACAAATTTTAGGAATAATTGTAAAAGATGATATCCCTGAAATTGACAATTTCCACGCAAAACAAAGTCAAACGAACATCAAAAAATACTTTTACTTCAACATTTTCCACGTGAAAAATTTATACAATCAAACACAATAATTTACAATTTCCATGAAAACAATTTCTAGGTAATTCAATTCCCTGGAATTCATTTTCTTTCCACCTAAATTCCATCTTCGCAATCAAACAGACCCTAAATGAAATTCCTTATTTCATTGTTGTAATTTAAATTAGCCATGTACTGCTTTTTGCCGGAAGCTGAAGCTCTGGCCGGCGGACCCAAAGATTTGAACATCATTTCATTAATGGCGAAATAGGGCTGCAAGGCATTTTTCGATCTATTAACAAGCTCCGGTGCCGCCAACACTTTTTCACAAAGTGTTGTAGATGGGTTTGACAATTTTTTGCCCAACAGATGAATCTATAAACAATTTCATGCCAAAATACAAAAAAATGACTTCTAATGGGGAAGTCTACAAAAATTGGATAGGTTGAGATCCAGCAACAGATTGATTAACACTAGCCATGGCTTTATTGTTCCCTTTTGTTCAAAACTGAAAATTTAGAGCATCAGATTGTAGCTGAAACAATACTTTCGGAGAGAATTGTTGGATATTGGTTAAATAAATCGAGAATTGAAAATCGATAAAAGTGATTTCGTATCAACTTCGGCCAAATACTCAAAAGTTCGATTCAATCCGTTTAGGCAAAATTATTTGCCACTTCGCCGCTTCAGGGTGCACAAACGAGGATCGACCTGCCCGGTCAGGTCGTGGGGGTCGTGGGGACTCGGGGGCAACGCCCCCGAAAGAGAATTTTGATTTCTCTACATGTATTGAAGGGTATATTTGGCATTTCGAAAATCAATATCGGATGAATGAGAAATTACGAAAAAGGACGAAAATCAGGTCAAAATATTTGACCGTGCGACCGCATGGTTGGTAAACCACGCGATCACACGTCAAATTCAATTCCGATTTTTTGAGTAAAACAGTGCGATCGCAAAGTCTATAACCGTGCGGCCGCACGATTGTCCGATGAATAGACACATTTTCATAAAGGTGCATTGTTTGTAAATGGTGCATGGTTTGGTCTCAACCATTTCGTCCACACCCTTTCATGGTCTATAAATAGGACCGTTTGGGTGTCCTATTCCTCACAATTTGATATGCAAAACGTCTCTCATCCTCTCTTCTATCCAAAATCAAAATCATTTCATTTATTTTGATTTTCCTTCATTTCATCCTTGGAGTACATAAGTCTAAATTTGGTTCGTTGTACTTGTGTTTTGGAGTGCTACAAACACAAGTGTAGCCGTTGTATCTTGGGAGTCGATTGCCGAAATCCGTAGGCATCGTTGCGGGGCAAATTCGACTTAAGGACAAAGAGTCCAACTCTTGCCTCAACTTTGTCCCTACTTCTTCTTCTTGTTGTTTGTGTTTTCTTTGCCATTACTCTGTCCAATTTTCGACACGGATTTACAAACCATCATTATACTTATTTTGGCGTCACTATTCACAAAATTCCTCCAATAAGAATGGGTTCAAAAAGGAAAAAACAGAACTGGTTGTTGTATCTAGTGGTGGCGATGGACGGATGAGGAAGAGGTGATGGTGGATAGGTTTTGGTGATTGGTGTATTGTGCGTGCTTCGGGAAGAAAAATGTAGTGGTGGAAAGAGGAGGTGGTGGGTAGGGCTTGGTGACTGGTGTATTTGGGAAGAAGATTGTACATTTTTCCCATTTTTGTTTTGTTTTGTTTTGTTATTTAATGTGGTAAATATAAAAATACCATTTTACTCTCATTAAAATTGATTATAATGTGGTCAAAGTGAAAATTTTAGTCAACTAATGGGATATTGGATGAAAAACATCAAAAAGAGCTTTACCTGTAACGTTTGGAAAGATTAGGAGTGACGGCTGCAACAAATCAAATGTTTGAAAAAGTCTGCTAGTGTTGTAAAGGTTTGGAGCTTTTGCTGCAATTATCTCTTAACGTAATTTGTCACTGAACGCTCATCGGATTTATCTACATATTCATAATTTTAAAGAAATGCAGTTTCGCCTTCCAAATAGTAATGATATTTCCCGATTTGATATGGTATAAATTTTGGATTAAAATTTAAATCAAATTCAACAATTAATTTAATCACACATTCCATGAGATCTACAACTTTTTCAAGAAACATTTCATCAATTTTTATTCAAATCTACAAAAATTTGATTTTAATCTATATCAAATAATGGTTTAATATTAGTGAGGTTTAACACCAATGCAGGTGACAATATATATGATATTATGCTATTTGTACATTATTTGGTGACATTTCTATTGACATTATGTGTTATCAAAATTTGTGTCATTAATTATTTTAAGTAGTGTTAAAATGAAAGACAAAAATATTGACCACCTCAAACACTGTCAATCAAACTTTATCTATAGCAAATTTGTAAAAATATAAACACAAGAAGTTAATGCTGCTTTCATGAGTATTAAATGCCATTGATAAACACAATTTTGCACCAATTTATTATACCTTTTTTAATACAATAAATTGTTGTTGTTGTAATAAATTTTAATAATCAATAACAGTTAAGGAATTAATTTAAAATAGGAATATTAAAAAATTTAAAATGTAATAAACACAATTGTTTAAAAGTTAATTGATAATTTGTAGGATGAATATACGAATTTTGATATTTAAATTGCAACACTATTTCAAGATCGTAATATCATGGTATTGAAATTCGAAATGTATTTCACTATTTTTTTAATGACATGATTTAATATTTTCTTATTCGTGATGTTTCTATTAATTGCACTATGTTTTTTTAAAATTATTAACGAATTTAATATTTTCTTTAATTTAATGTATTTATTTATTTAGTAATTTATGTAGTTGTAAAATAAATAAATAAATAATTTCTCAAATAAATAACTTTTTAAGAATAAAAAAATTAATAAAATAATTAAATACTGTTCATCTGGTGTAATGAGTTGGAGATGATTTTCATTTGGAACGAATGCAAAATGGTACAAAACTTATCTCAAATTTTGGTTCAAGATTAGAAATGGTCTAAACCTTTCAAAATGCATTTTTTTTCGAAACTCATTTTTAATCAAACATTTTCACATAAAATAATGTTACACGTAATTTAAATATTTTCTTTATTTTTTAACCACACATTTAAAAAAAAAATCGTTATTTTAAAACATATTTCTCTCCTAAAATCTTATTTTAATGAAATCGAAACAAGAACTAGATAATGTTATTCTTCCTAAAAGCACTTTTAAAGACATCCGTGCCATTTGTTTCATGTTATACATTGGCGATCACTGTATGGGCACCAGATTCCACATTGGTCCACATAGTGCAAATTGAGTTGCTTGAGGGATTTTAGCGTTTATGCATTTTCGTGATTGATTAAAACTATACAATATTTTGAGTCCAAAGATGGAATGATAACTGGACAGACAAAGTTAGGTGGCCCTCTCGTCCCGATGTATCTATCTAGGAAATTTTGAGAAAATGGAGTGTGGTGGAATATCTCTATTTATCGCTCGATTACTTGTTTATTTTTAAAATACTGTTATTTTGTATTTAAATTATAAAATATAAAAATAAAAAGATTCGTGTTGGATTTGGGGTGGAACACATTCTTTGAGCTTCCTCGCGTATCCTTACCCCCGCAATGTGGGGTATGGGTGAAGCAGAGTATTCTTGTCATCCATAGTCCCATGCATTTTGTGTAGGGTGACGATTGAGAAATAAATGAAGAAAAATTGAATGTCTCGATTTTAGAACATATGTTTGAAGAAATATCTCCATGTTAGGTTGTGCATATTAAGCTCTTGTTTGGGTTCTATTTTAATGAGGTTTTAGGGAAAAATATATTTTGAAATAATGATTTTTTGAAGAACGTATTGTTAAAGAAAAGGAAAAGTTTTGAAAAATGCATGATTGAAAAGAAAAACGAGAAAAATGCATTAAAATTAAAATGGACTATTTTTTATCCACCACATTCGAAGGGGGAGGAAAAAAAATAATAATAAGAAAGAGAGAGTGAAGGGGTGAAAGAGGGGGAGTATAGATTCTATAGAATGAGTTAATTAGCTCAAGCTTGAGAGGAGCGAGTCTTCATCTAATCATATACGAACTTAATCTTGAGTTTGTGCTATAGGTTTTGTTAGTCCTGTTTGTCAAAATTTATTGATATTATAAATTGGTGAATTCCATAAAATGTGTAATTAAAAAAATTAATAAAAGTTATACATCCAATATAGCGTGTGAGTAAAATTAAGTTTGATCAACTTATAATCTTAAAACGATCTTGAAGTCAAATAGGGACTTGTGAATGTTGTTTTAACAATAACAATAATAATAGTGTGAACAAATTGAAAGGTAAGGGGTAGCTAGCACTAGAAAGCACTATTCTAAAAAGCGAGTATTGAGGGCAATGTGCAGTGAAAACGTTAAGTCAAGTGATTTGACGTCTTATTTAACAATCAACAACAATCGTTGATCGCTGATACATGCCTAGGGCTGATTGTGTGCTTTTTAAAAAAATATATATATATTCTTTTTAATTTTTTAGATTAAAATTTAAATGTTGATTTCTTCGTTTCGTCGGTTCTAAATTAAAAATAGTTGCTTGAAGCCTTTTAAAGAAAGAAAATCTCCCAAAATTTTCTATTTGTTTACTATTTAATATTTACATTTGAAACTTATCTTTTTGTTAAAAACTTTGAGAAAATGTTTAAATTTCCTATAAATTTGTTTTAGATGTTTGATAAGTATTATTATTTTTAATTATTAAATGATTTTTCGGTTGATTAAAAATAAAATAAGATAAAGCATTTTATCGCTTTTTACATCTATGCCTCGTTTATGCTCTCTTAGCCCGACCTTCACACATTGTCACGTATTACGTCTTTTAAAATACTGCTAGAAAGTGAACTAGTCCCACTTAATTACTAATCGAGGTTGGAAAGATCTTAGTAATCCAATTACATGTTTGGTGCATTGATGGGATTACTATCAATAAAGAAGAGTAATAAATTTCAATTATTTATACTCATAAACAATTATTACTTGTTGAATATATTTGATAGAGCTTAAAATTAACGCTAATTCACTTCGACATAAATGTCGAAAATCCCCATGACAGGATCAAAGTGCACTTGGGATCCATGTTTGTCCCAGTTCAAAAGGAAGTAAAAATCAGTAAAAAAATTTAGGCTTTTCCAAACAAGGTGCAAGTGTTATTTGAATTTATAACGTCAGCAGTTCTCTTCTTTATAATAATCTCATGACAGTCTGCATTCACACGGTCTGAAAGCCATAGATGGTAAAGCCTTCTTTCAGTTTTATGTATTTACCCAAGATTTCAACAAGAAAAAACGATTCTTTAGGGTTTCTTAATTTGTCTATTTTCCTTTTTTTTTTGGGTTTTAATTTGACAGGCTGACTCTACTGAAGAATTCGAACCCCTTTTCGATTACTCACGCGTTCAGCCCTGTAATGTCATTAACCTCGATGGTCAGCTTCTCCTTCCCTCTATATACGTACAAGTATGAATGCCTAGTGTATGGGAAATGATTTTATTTATTTATTTATTTTTTTCGCAGATGATAGCATGGATGAATCCCCCGTATTCTTCGATAAGAAACGGAAAATTGCAGACGCTGATGTAAAAACTTTTCTCTTTTTTTATCTCGGAAAAGATTTGAACTTCTTTTTATGTTTCTTAATGAATATTGAACTTAAAGTTCAGATGGGGTTTTTGAACTGAAAAATGTTAGGTTGAAGAGAAAGAGAAGGATGTAAATGGGAAGGATATCGAGGTGATTGATTGCGACAGTAAGGTAGATGAAGAAGAAGATTGGCTACCTCCAGCACCAAAGAATTCAAGAAATACTGAAAAGATACTTGACGAGGACTCTACTATAAAGGCGCTACGGTATAATTTATATCCAGACTTATGAATTGCTACTGATTTCTGTATTTTGTTTGAAAATTTTGATTGTGTGAGGTTGTATGTTGAAATTGATGCCATTTTATGGTTATTTACTACCTGCATTTGCTAGGTTTGAGTTTTTGAATTCAATGAGAAATGTATTGTATTGTGATTATGTTACTAACAGTTTTGTTTGTTTGAGAAAATTCAAGAAGTCTAAACTGGATGTCCCATTTACCTGTTATACCAATCCGAGGGGACAATAAGTAGAGGTTTCTATTCTTTTGTTTTGAAACAAATACAGAATAAAGTAGAATTAGAAGTTTTAAGTAAGCCAGTACTACAGAAAAATCCATCTTACTTTCATACGTAGGCTTGTTACATTTGTTATAATGGTGAGTTATTGAGTAACAGAATACACATGGGTTTGCAATATTTGCTATCAGTAACATACCATGGAAAATTAATAAAAATGAAGTATCCTATTGCCTTTCTGTTTGTTATTGCTTGTCCTATTGGCTATACACAGATTAGTAAAGATAGCATAAAATATTTGCAATTCTGTCTAGTTTTGAGTTTACTGCATAACCAGAAAAGGTTAAAGGTATTAGCATACCTCTGTTTATTTCTAATTCCTGTTCTTCTGCAAAGATACTACTACAAAAACAATTTTTTACATCATACATGTTTTCATTAATCTTTATCTGGAAAATTGTGGTTGAACAAGTGACTGTTTCCACTTACAGTATATTTTTATTTTATTTTATTTTTTTTAATGTTCTTAACTTATGATAATTTTGACAAGCAAGTGTAGGCTTGTAATTGCGAAGTGCAACTGCACTGGGACGAAAAAAATATTAAAATGTGGTGTCTACTACAGCTGTCCTGGCGTCATTTAGATAAAGAAATGGGTAATTGTTTAGTTTGTGTTCATAACTACATATATGCATGTGCGCACTCAGAAAATATTTATAAAATTAAGGTATGATTGTTCTATTACTTATGTACTCGGATTTTTGGAAAAAATGGAAATACATTTAGCACTTGACAACCTGGCTCTACCAAAACCTAATGCCTATTCTTGACTTACTGCTGAGTCCCCTAAACAAATTCTAGTACAGCATTAGGTGCTATTAGAAGATTCTTATTTTGCCTCAGATGAAGAATTTGAATTATTAGCTAGCTTATTAATTTTTGTGTAAAATGAACATTAATTTTGTCCATTATTTTGTAATTTTATCATCTTCATTATTATCATAACACTGTAATTATTTTGATTGCTTATTGTCATCAGGGGATCATCATATCACGTAAATACAGTCATACTCGAATTATCCTAATTTCGTCCTTGTGATCGTTGGGAAACCAGATGTTACCAACATATATGACCACAAAGGTGCATGCAACATAAATTCTCAGGAACTTCACATAATCATGCATAAAAATATATGTACTAGGTATATGAAGATCCCTGGTATCAAATGCATTGATCTTTTGGACTTTGTAACATATTAGCATATAAATATGTCTTCTTGATTGAAACTGAGGTCCTTCAATATTTTCGAGTTTCAAACAATAAGGTTGAGAAAATAATGAAGGCATTGATGTAATTCATCTTAAAATACTTTTAACTCTTGATTACTTGTGTAATTTCTACCTGTATATACTTAGTTCTTCATATTGAATGTCCATATTCGAATATTTCGTACCTGATGATATAGAAAATGCCATTATGCTGTGTTCTTGCCGTCAATAACAATTTTGGTTTATAACTGACAGATGGTGTAACATAGGTTACAATATAATAGTGAAACTTTAGCAAGGAAATGCCGAGGGGTTGCCTTGATTTAACAGTGTAACTTAATTTATCGTGAAAAATGTTCATTTGTGAACTTAATACTCTTTTTTCTGAAATGCATGCTATCTTCATAGGCTAAAAAAGGAGGAGTTGGCATCACTGGCGAATTCAGCTGAGGAAGTTTTGCGAGCTGTTGAAGAATCTGTAAGGAAAGACCTCAGTGCATCATTACTGTCTTCTCTGGAGAATGCAGCGGAGAAGCCACAGAATCCTCTTCCAGAGAGAGCAAAAGTAGTTATCTCCATTCAGAACAAGGATGAACTTAAACAATTTCGTGTTTACACGGTGAGTAGTTTCTGGTGTTTTCTTGAAGCTGAATAATTTACACCGTGCTGTTGTCAACTTAGGTATTAATATCATTAGGCAGATGATGTTTATAAGGAGATTAAATCTTCGAGATAACTCATATTTGAGTAGTTATTTTGTTTTATCACAGGGCTAGATTTAATTAACAGCCTAGAACACTTGTAAATGTATGAAAAATTAATTAATTGTTCCCTATTTTTTTTGGCTACGGCAACATGAATTAAACTCCTATACTCTAATATTTCAAGTAAAAGATCACTGTAGATTTTCAGAGATGTAAGACCTGATCAACCTGTGGAGGGAGCAAAAATTTTGTTATTCCAAAGTCCACAATGTCATTTATTCGTAAGCCATAAAAAAATCACACTCCACGTCATCCAGTCATGATTGTTACATTGACCTACTGCTTTTGAATGGGTGTCATTTCCTTCCAATTTGAACTCTAGCCCTGAATGAATAAGACAATAATGGCTTCCATTTACAATGTTTTAGTTTATTCTTATTGAACCTTTTTCTGATGAATCTTGAAACTTTTCTTAAGCTGACAATTTTTTTGCTTTGCACATAGTTTACTTCTTAAGAATTTGTACTAGTTAAGAATACTCAAGCTTTCCTTGTGTCAAGTTCTCAGCATTCGATGACTTTGTATTCAGTCATCAAGTTCCTTTGCTTGTTTGTTACTTTGTTAATTTTAGTTTGTACTGCTAATTTTATCATATCTACTGAATATTCTTATTTAACCACTTAAAGCTTCTGTTTCATACTTCTCTCCACATTATCATATGATATTTTGTGATTTCTGATCATAGATATGGCTTACTCATGTAGGATGATAAATTTGAACGACTCTTCAAGATGTATGCTGACAAAGCTAAGCTCGATATTAAACAATTAGTTTTCTGCTTCGATGGGGATAAAATAAGTCCGGCAGAGACTCCTGGTAGCCTAGGGATGGAGGACGATGATATAATTGAAGTGCATATGAAGTCAAACTAATCCAGGTAAAAATGGTATATCCTCGATGGCTCTACTGGTTATGTTTTTGCAGTGTACATTTCATTCTTCAGATTTTTGTTTATATATTTCTTTAATGGCAACCTTATCGCATCAAAAGAATGCTGAATCTTTCTCTGGAATGTGTGTAAACCACCACACAATTTATGAGCATATATCCTCACTGCTTTATGGAAATGAAAGATGAATTTCATTAAAGAGCAATAAACCAGCTAATCAAGTCCATTGGGAAACTACCATTTTGCTCTAATCTATACCTCAAGGATGGACGAATAATTATTGGGGCCTTCCTCCAGAATCTTATTTCTTCTTGATCCTTGTCAACACATTTCTTGCTGCATATGTTTACATTTATTAATAGCAAAGAGGGGATGGAATGCTTGCTCCAGAAATAATGAACATAAAAGTGACTTTATTTTTACATGAAGGCATTCCCTATGCCCTGCAAAGATCTCTTGTTCTCCCTTCATTCTGCTTAATCCACTGCTATCACACACCAGCTAAAACCAATGTTTGACCTCAGTTGGCATCGCACAAGACACTAAAATATCCTAATGTTATTCACAATGTAGCAGGAAATGAGTTACCTCCTAGGACTGTATACAAGCAACCCCAGCTTAACACGAGTTTCCTGCACCGATTCAAGATGTCAGTAGAAGAATGGCATCTCTGGGCCTATGGCAGCATTTTACATGAAAAAATGCCAACTGTGGGGGTCTTTGCTACCACAGATCATCTTCCAAGTGATGCCAAATTATTGCCTTGTACCAGAAAAGAGTACAAGGTTTTAATTATTTACTACTATTCTTATAGCCCTCCTAATACCTTTGATTGCCTCATCCCCTTTACTGCACCCTGCCATCATACGAGTTGGCAAACATATTCTCCAAACAACTGATATTCCAATCTTTTAGCAGTTCCTGTGGACTAAACATTTTCAAGTCATCTACACTCCTTATCCAACCAAAATATCTATAGCCTCCCGTTGCCAATCTCAAAAGCCTAAAAATATTTGGAGAACTCTCTCCAGGAGTGTTAATTAGTCAAATCCATAACTCCCATAAGAAAGCTGGATCTTCCCAACTGCCTGTTTTGGGAGTGTCTATTTTTTATCATTTATTCTAGAGCAAAATTTTGACTAGTCTATGATTTTATTTCATTTATGGAACTGGTCAGAGTTCGTATTTTATATTTGAGCTGATCAGTATCATGTTTCCAACTTGTTTCAGGATGTTGGATGACCTGTAGCATTCAAGTTGATGATTCTCTTCCTTGGACTCAATGGCTTCTTTTGAACGACTTGTGTAAAAAAATCTTTATTTTGTTGTCCTGCAACTGTAAAGTGGAAATCTTCTGTTGGTGAATGACGATAAACATAGTAGAAGCTATTTCGAAAGAAGTGCAAGGATTTTTTGCATACCTCTGTAACTGTAAAAGCTCAGTCTCCTCGTAAGTAGAATAAGCACACGCAAACATGCATCCCGGGTTAAGAAAATGAATGTAGGACTCTCTTCATTTGAGTTGGATTGTATACCATGCAAGTTGCAACTAACTATTAAGATGTTAGAGAATGTGATTTGCGTAAGAATGTGGTTGTTGCAGTCGCATTTATAGTTTATGGAATTTCATTTCACATGGCTATTTTAAGATCGAGATGGAAAATGATTGTTCTTATTTTTTGGTCAAAATAGCATTGTCCAGTTGAATAACACTTTTATTTTTCTTTGTACACAAACCAAAATCTTATAAGCTGCACTCAAGTTGATGTGTTAGAATTTTGCTAAATCCACAGCGTGCATCTATCGTGTTGCCAGTACATATCCCCTGTAAAGGTCACATTTATGATTTGTTATTCCTGTTTAGACATCTAACTGTATCATATCAACTAAGCATGAGTAGGATATAATCCAACACTGGAAACAACATGAGAAGAGACAATTTTTACACCATTTTAAAGCATGTTTCGGATGTATATGTTTTGTCCTTACATGATAAACATAATTCTTTGCTAAGTGAATAACGTTCTGAACATACGCTACAAGATAATATGTTTCTAACTTAACCTTGTTGGACAACCATTATTTCAGAAAAATAGAATTTTGAATAATAATTTTTAGGAAAATGTGTAGTTAAACAGTAAAAGGAAAAAAAAAGGATTTACGTGCAGAATATTTATTCCATCAATGTGTGATTGAAAACAAGTTATAAAATTTTTTGAAAATAATGGTTGTCAAATGGGAGCTAAATATTGCTCCCTCCCTAGCATATAATACTTATTTGCTAGGTATTAGTCAACCAGAAATGTATAAAATAATAAATATATTATTTTTGGTTTTTGGTCTAAAAAATTAAATATATATTATTCTTTGGTTTTTGGACAACGTAGAAAAATTCTAGGTTAGCATAATCAACCACTGTGTTGTAGTTGAACCAATGAAGAGAAAATCAGCAAAGGTTTTACATTTAATTAACTTGAAAGCAATTTTATACTATTGAAAGTGTCGAGACTGGAGAGTTTTTTTAATTATTATTTTAACAGTTCCAATTTGGTGTCTATATAATTTCGTATTTATAATTTTAAAGACTTGTTAAGATGATGTGTATCAGGGACAAATAATAATAATAATAATAATAATAATAATAATAATAATAATAATAATAATAATAATAAATAAATAAATAAATAAATAAAATAAAATAAAATAATTATATACAACAGTCATGTGGGTCCTATTTGTTTTCTTTAATTCACAAATCTATCGAAATCTAATAGATTTGTCCAAGAAGACGCACCAAACAGGGATTAATTAATCTTAAAATTTGACAACCGACTCAATTTTTTTGTTTGGATTGTAGGAAAAAGCCTTTATAAGTACAAGAAAATTATAATTTAAGATAAAAATTTTGAGGACACATCATTTCAAATATAAAAGGATCACTGATGTAAATATTTAACTAAGCTTAAAATAAATATTTATAAATAGTTTACCTATTTAACACTAATTTTCCAAAAGAAATAACTTCTCTACTTATAACGAGAATGAAATAACATATCCAATATAGTTGAAAATAAAAATTTACTTACTTCTAAACTTTAGCCCTACAAGAAATATAATATCAGTGCCTTTTAGGTGACAGAAAGGGTGCACACATCTATTGAACAATATATGAAAATGATTTTTCATTTCAATAATTGAAATGTCACAATTCAAATATGTAATTTTCCAAGTCTTTTTAAAGAATAAACAAAAGGCCAACTCGTCGCCAAATCAGATTACAAGTTTGGATGAGTTATAACTCGACACTTCATTAGAATGTCACAGTCCAATGAAAGATGTATAAATAACGTTCGCGTTGAAACATAAACTCCATCATCACCATCGAATGAATTTCTATAAAAACTCTTATTTAGTACTAGGACTCTTAATGGATTGAACTTTGATTAAAATCCGATGAAATTAGTGGGAGAAGGATTTAGAGTCTCAGTCCGATAACTTAATCGCTAACTAAATGGAGCAAATATGAATATAGGTCAATCTAATCCGATTTGTCATAATAATATAATATATTTTATATATTACTGCATAATTTATTACACAATTTTTTTCATTTTGAAATTTGTATCATACTTTATGACTTTTAATAAAGAACCTATCAAATTTTTATAAAATTAATATATATTATAATAAAATTTGTATTGAGATTGAGAGTCCCCTTTCCAATAAAAGAAGAATATGTTTAAAATATTTCGAATTGAATTATTGAATCCAATATTCGATGAAATGGAAAATCGAATGTGGATTTAACAATCAAATATCGGTTGAATTATCGAATTTGATGGATCCGTGAATTATTCTTGCCGAATCGAATTGAATTATTGAATCCGATATTTGATGACATGGCCCAATAGGTTATTTGTTTTTTTCATATTTAAGGCTTTGAAAACGCCTCGTAGGTTTTTTATTGTTCATGAAATAAGAAGAAACGTTGATTTTCTTGAGTTCAATCTGTTTGAGTTATTATCATTACGTGTTTGTAGATTTGATCTACATCACATTTCTCCAAACAACTTATATTCCAATCTTTTAGCAGTTCCACTGGACTAAACATTTTCGAGTCATCTACACTCTTTATCCAACCAAAATATCTATAGCCTCCCATTGCCAATCTCAAAAGCCTAAAAATATTTGGAGAACTCACTCCAAGAGTGCTAACTAGTCAAATCCATAACTCCCATAAGAAAGCTGGATCTTCCCAACTGGGAGTGCCTATTTTTGATCATTTATACTACAGCAAAATTTTGACTAGTCCCTATGATTTTATGAAACTGGTTAGAGTTCGTAATTTATATTTGAGCTGATCAGTATCATGTTTCCAACTTGTTTCAGGATGTTGGATGACCTGTGGCATTCAAGTTGATGATTCTCTTCCTTGGACTCAAAGGCTTCTTTTGGACGCCTTGTGTAAAAAATCTTTATTTTGTTGTCCTGCAACTGTAAAGTGGAAATCTTCTTTTGGTAAATGACGATAAACATAGTAGAAGCTCTTTCGAAACAAGTGCAAGGATTTTTTGCGTTCTTCTGTAACTGTAAAAGCTCAATCTCCCCATAAGTAGAATAAGCAAGATTATAAGCACACCCAAACATGCATCCCGGGTGAAGAAAATGCTTGTAGGACTCTCTTCATTTGAGTCGGATTGTATACTATGCAAGTTGCGACTAACTATTAAGATGTTAAAGAATGTGATTTGCGTAAGAATGTGGTTGTTGCAGTCGCATTTACAGTGTATGGAATTTCATTTCACAAGGCTATTTTAAGATCAAGGTGGAAAATGATGGTTTTTACTTTTTGGTCAAAATAGCATGTCCAGTTGAATAACACTTTTATTTTTCTCTGTGCACCAACCAAAATCTTATAAGCTGCACTCAAGTTTATATGTGTTGGAATTTTGCTAAATCCACAGCGTGCATCTGTCGTGTTGCTTGTACAGATCCCCTGTAAAAGTCACATTTATGATTTGTTATTCCCGTTTAGACATCTCCCTACATCATATTGACTAAGCATGAGTAGGATATAATCCAACATTGGAAGCAACATAAGAAAAGAAAATTTTTGCACCATTTTAAAACATGTTTGGGATGTATATGTGTTTCGCGCGGGTTAATTTGCTAACAATTAAAGAGGATCAGACGATTGTATAAGGGACGAAACCTCTTGAGACAGTTCCAAAAATGGGTGTTCTTTTATTGGCGATGAACTTTACAATTGGAAACGAAAAACAACGTGCCTCCAAGGGGCGCAAGCACACGAGTTACAGAAAGAAAAGTGTTTAAGTCTAAAAGCTAAGGAAATGAAAGTTACATATTCTCTGTTCGAGAGTTTTGTATTCGATCCTTTGCTTCTACGTTCTTTCTCCCTTTTATACCGCATAAACGATCTCTTTGTGATTAACTACTCTAAAAACTGCTTGATCGTCCTATAACTACCCACTTCCTTTGTAGTGGCCATTTTGTCATGAAACTGTCTTTTAACTGCTGCCATTATCTTTCATCGTTCAACCGCTTTCGATTGAATTCCTTGAGTTGTGGAACGTGATAGGGCTACTTTAACAACTGCCTTGATAACTGCATTTCTTGATAACCACAATGCGTTATGTTTGTTGATACCTTGGGCGACTTGAAGGTTTGGGCGAGAATAGAATAGCAGTTCTGGGCGACCGTATGACACTCTATTCGTTCAGATTCTAGGCGACTTGCAAATTTGGGCGATGGCGTTACCGCACTCTTGGGCCCCTTATTTGGGCCTTCACCTTGATTCGTTCGATTGGACTTCGTTCTTTGGGCTATCTGATTTGGGGATCTTCCAATTGGGCTTTACTCCTTGG